AGTGTTATTGGAAAATAATTTTTATACTTTGTAATACTCTAGATTATTTATAATAAAATAATATTAATATGTATATAAATATATATATTTATATATATATATATATATATAAATATTAGATGATAAATTGTAATTAATTGGATTATTAATTGATTGATGATTTAAGCATTTATGTTTGATTGATAATGTTTGATTGATAATGATTGATTAATAATGATTGATTGGTAATGTTCAATTGGTAATGATTGATTGGTAATGTTTTATTGGTAATGATTGATTGGTAATGATTGATTGGTAATGTTGATTGGTAATGTTGATTAGATATGATGAGTCAATAATGAGTCAGCCTTGAGTTAGCAAATAAGTTAGATGTAATCTGAGCCATAAGAAATTAATAGGAAAATAGTGTATAAAGCCAAAATCTGAGCCAGATACATCAATAAAGAATAAGGAAATAAATGCACGAAATCCATATCTGAGCCCAAAACTTCAACTATAAATAGAGGTCTAACCTAACCAAACCAATTCACTCTTCAACATTTCTCATCTACTATTCTCTCTTCTTAGATCAAAAACTTAGTTTAATTTATTTTATATTCTTCTGGTTACCCACCGGTTCTCTGCCCCAAATTTCTCTAATCTCTAGGTGGTTGTAGAGATTATAATCTATGCTCCACTAGTGAAAAATTTGAATTAGGTTATATATACGGTTAAAACTTAAAACCCTGTTCGGAGTAAAACCCTGTTGCGAGTAAAACCCTATTGCAAGTGTGGTCCCTCCCTGTGGTTCGGCGCTCTGTCTCTCTCTCTCTCTCTGTTGTTCGGGTAAGATGGTTTTGTTTTGTCGTATTTTTCTTTTCTGGGAATATAACTTCTCAATAAAATTGTCTGATACAATTAGGAAGAAGAATGAGAACGAGTTCCTTCCACCCATTTTTTTGGAGTGGATCATCTCATGTGTAAAAGTGGTCATGTGGTCATGTTATTTGATCACAACCATTCATTGATGATGAGATAAGAGAGAGAAAAATATATAATTTTTAAATGAGTAATTGTGATCAAATAACATGACCACATGACCACTTTTACACATGAGAGGATCCACTCCCCATTTTTTTTAAGGTAGAAACTTTTTGTCTGCCTCGAAAGAGAAAAAATAGAGTGGGGTCTATTTATCATATTTATAGTTTCTCTCTCTTCTTTTTTTTCTCTTCACCGCAGACAAATGATTTCGGACATGCCCTTTTTTTTAATATATACACGATACAGTTTTGTCATGAAAAATTATTATTTATTTTTTTTTGTTTTTCTCATAAAGTTGCTTCTCTCAATAAAATTGCTTACTCAAAATTTCAGTTTTTTTTTTTCTTTTTAAGAAAAAACCCTTCCGTTCCGATATGAATGGCAAACTGGGCGGGATTAGGGACTTCTTGGTTACTTTCTGTGTATTCGCTTTTCTCCTCTCTCTTTTTTTTGAATAATTTTACTCTTAAAGTTTGCTTTTGAATAAAAAAACATCACTAGTGTAGAAAACACCCTACTCTTCCTTAACAGCTGCGTGCCCCACCTCCATTATTGCTCTTATTTAAACCCTTCAAAGTGTGATTATATTTGTTGTTAAAACAGGGACAATAATAAAAGAAACACATAAATGTATTAATGGTGATAAAGAGGGTAGGGGTATTTTCTATATCACAGAGCCATTACTGTTTAAAAAAATGTTAAAGGGTATTTTTGATTTTAAAGCAAACCGTAGGAATATTATTAAAGCTTTTCCCAAATTTTTTTATTTCTGGTGTCGGGGAATATGGGTTTTGGATAGTTTTGAGTTTTTTTTGGCCTGGGTTTATGCAAGTTGTAAAAAAAAAATTGTCCGAATTTGGTGTTTTGATGTCAATTTCTTTTTTAATATAATTCACTGGTATATGCATGCCAGCGTTTGTGTTATAAAAAATGTGATTTTTTTTTTGGTAATTTATAAAAAATGTGATTTACTTTGCGCAAAAATGTGTTTGATATATGGTGTTATTTAATATTTGATTTTTTTCCTCGTATGGTGCTATATTTTATCCCTAAATTAATTATGCTTGTTGAATTGGGTTACATTATTTTTGCTGGGACTGTTGCTATATTTTTTTTCCACCTTGTTTGGGCTATCCAATATGTGATTGATGTATTGTTTCTTTGATGCCTTTGCAGCAAAGTGTGCCTTCTGGATCCTAAGAATTTGGAAATCAAAACATTATCCTCAAACAATTTGTTTTAATACATCGTTATGGGTGCTACTAAAACAACAATACAAGGTAAGAAATCAAATTTCAAGTTACTACTTACTACCAAAAGGGTTGAAGTTGATTCTGGATTGAAAAAGTATGAATTTAGAGAAATAGGATCTCACTTTGATGAGAATGAGTGCTCTAATTCAAAGGAAAAATCCTCTATGACAGGTTCCATCAAGAGAGGACCACAAGGTATTATCGAGGGCCATAAAGAGAAAAGGCAGAAGATAGATCGAAAAACATCTTTTTTGTGTACTGCCATTCTGAAGAGTCTAACATCCCACATACATGGCTGGGCTTTTAATAAGCCAGTGGATCCTGTGGCATTGAATATTCCAGATTATTTTACAGTCATATCTCATCCCATGGATTTAGGCACTATTAAATCCAAGCTGGAAAAAAATATTTACTTTAGCATTGAGGAATTTGCAGCTGATGTTAGATTGACCTTTTCAAATGCCATGACATATAATCCTCCTATGAATGCTGTTCATTTAATGGCAACAGAGCTCAAAAAAATATTTGAGAGAAAATGGAAAGACTTGGAGAAAAATGCAAGTGTGAAAATGAGAATGAAAAAAATTTGACTGGAGTAGTGAGGGGACATGTGAGAAAATTTTGTAATAGGATAATTGTCGGCGGAATCAATTATGGTCAATGAAAATATTTCTGTTCATTATTCCTTGTGTTATCTTGTGATGTTTATAGTGTTACGAATTGATTAATAAGATATATTTGTAATAGAAGATTATATGTATTCTATGTAATGATTATTAAATGTAATATTTGGGTGAAATAAAACTCTTGAAAGAGAAAAGCCAGAGAGAGCATTGTTGTGTTTTTCACTCTTGGTGTGATTGCATCTATGAAAAATGAAAGTGTAACGTAAGCGGGGTGAAACCCTTCTGAATGAAACCTTAAAATTTTAAAAATCCACGAACTGAGGTAAACATTTGTTTCTTTTTTTCTAAGACTGTAAATTTTGTTAATATAATTATAGGCGATCATTTACCTAAAAAAAGTATATACATATATTTTGGTGTCGTTGTCTTGCTGATAAACTTAAACTCATTTGTGCTTTCTATGTTTTATATTTCAATTTCATATTTGTATCATTATGAAAAGTATATGCATTGAAGAAGTATCACGGGTAGTTAGTATTTCCTATTAGTCTTAATAATATTTGTAATTTTATAATTTTATTTTTATCCCCTGTTATAAAAAATCCCGGGTCTGCCAGAGAAATTTGAATTCATTCATACACGACTTCAGCAAATGGATCTCTGTTGCTCCATCTTCTTCGTTACCAATTAATTCCCCCTATGACACAACCAACATAAATACTAGAGAAATGCATTTCATTAAATACAAATTTTAATAAAGCAGTATAAGATGTAACAAAATCAGACTTATGCCAAAATCAAAAAAAAAAATTGATTACCTTCACTAATTTCCCTTTTATTATAGCAATAGCTTTAGCATTTTATGTAACGAAGAAGATGCTGATTTGGAAACCCAGAATATTGTTTGACTTGCATCGATCTGGGTTAAATCACATGCAAGTCCTCACGTGCAACCTTGTATTTCGCGTTACTTTGCCAAGTTCTCAATCCATATATAGTTTCCTCTCTTTTCTAAAATCTAAATTTTCTCTTGAAGTAAAGACTGCCCATAACAATGCTAGTTAAGCATGTATCGTGCAATATCATCCTTCATTCCATTGAATATGATATAAAATAATATCCCAATGTCATGCAAAGTTTTAGGACATTCTTTGCTCAGTTTTGTGTAACCCCAGATAGTCACGATACATCTTATTTGTGGTGAAATCTGTATTTGACTTGTTGGTCCGTATAAGACCTCTAATAGCTTTAGTGAAAATATGAACAAGGTAATGGATCCGATGGTCAATATTGCAGGTGGTAATGGTGCTGCAAAAGAGTACCATGGTGGCCTCCTTTTTAATTTTGTTTAATTTTTTTCAGTCTTCGGATAGAAAGTATTGATGTGATTGGAGTTTGAATTTTGTTTTTATAGCCTGGAAATTTAACCTTTTTGTATGTGGTTACTGTATAATATAACAGTGCATGGAATGAAATCACATGCCTAAACTCTTCTAACACGACATGAAATAAAACTATTTTCTTTCTATAACTGTATCATTTATGTGACATCCCGCATAATTAGGAACTTCTATAAATTATAATTAAGAGTGGATATCATACTTGAAAGTCGAATTAAACTTATGTTAGAGTGGGATTTATGTAAGTTAGGAAAATTATTCGAATTGTAATTGTAAATAAGTGGTTATATATATATACATATATTTGGAGAATTCAAAAATCTAGTTAAAAAAATGGGATTAAACTAATATAACCTACGAAATTTTATAAAATACCTAGAAGACATATAAAATGATAATTTCTAAATTATAGTAAGCAATTTTCTTTAAGACACGTTAGTCGGACCCTTTGTTAACCTTTAAACTATCTTAAAGAAAATTCTAATTACTGGTGTAAGTACCCTAAGAAATCTGCCCTGCCGTCCATTTCACCCAATGAGAAGAGAGAAAGTTGTTTTGCATGCAATCCGATTGGTTGATGACAACCTCATCACCTAGCGTCCAATGAGGGTAAAGGAAATTCTATTATTTGTTTTATTTGTGTTGTTTGGATCAGAATTAAGACCAACCCCTTTTCCCTCTCTATGCGTTAATTTGAAGGCAACAAGTTAGCCTCTATCTAATTTTTCCTGAATTCAATTAAGCCACACATTGTCCTCTTGTTGCTCTATGCACGGCTGAAGATCTCCCAAGCAAAAGGATTGCCCACTTTAGTTTAGAATCAGATTAGCCTCTCATGTTTTTCCTCACTGCCGCAAGCCACAAGAAATATAGCTCAAAGAAAGAATTTCATTGCATTCCCTTTTCTCACGTACACAAACCGTGAACTACCTTGAAGGCAAATGATCATCCAAATTTCTATTCTTTTTCCACTGCATGTTTCGGCTGAGTGGAGCAATCAACAAGGAGATTTGGAACATAATCTCACACACTTCTCTCCCTCTCCTTTCGGCTGAAAACTCCCAAGCAAGGAGGTAGGCGTTTGTCTCTTTGTGGCTGTTTCCTACTAGATCGGTCCTAATTCAGTTTTGTTGTTTTTTCCACTGCATGCTCAAGACTCAGCCATGATTGAGCCATTCTTTCTCCTTGCATGCAAAGACAAGTGAGTATCATCCATCCTGTTCACCCTTGACTTCTGCGCATGAGTTATGTGTGGTCTGTCTTCTTATTTTTGTTCTCTGTTACGATTTCTGAGTGGTAGGAGTGTGAGAGTGAGAGCAGAACCTTTGGTGGTTGTCCCATTCAACGATGGTGAAACAATTGGGCACTTGAAGTGGGCACAAATCGTGAATTGCTCCTCCAACCCCCATTCAATGTGCGGCTGTGAAGGTAAGCTTAGGAGGAAATATTCTGTCACAGTTCATCTCTGCCATTCTGCCTTGTTAAGTATCAACGTGATCTTCTTTTGTGTGTAAGCAAGAAAATGAAATTCGAGTTTGGTAGATGGCCCCACACCAATTTAGGAACTACTTCTTGGATTAAGAAAATTGAGGAGCCTTGTATGTAATTATAACTGGCAGAGGCTGCATGTTTTAAGTGTCACTATAATACACTAAGCCTTGTAGATAATACTTAGTAAAGGATAAGCTAGTAGCGTCTGGTTGAGAGCACAAAACCGTATTTGCAGGTCTTAGAAAACTTGATTTTTATCATTGTCAATGTGTGGTAAACTAATAACAAATCAGAAAAAAAATTATGTAGGCAGTGAAGCACCTTGTTGTTGGCCAAACCGAAATTTCATGTGTAGGCCTTTGGAACCCTTTTATTACTTGCTAGCAATTAGTAGGATAATTTATGTTGGCCTTTTCCCCCTTTTAATTCTGTCATTTTGGTACAGCCATAGGACTTGAAGCATATTAATTCAATGCTGAATTTTGTGAACATGGACATAAATATCTAGATTATTGGACTGCCCTTGTAACTAGAAAAATAAATGAACAGCCTAGCATGTTTTATTGTATGTAAACAGAATGCTGAAAATCATATGGATCATATGTAAATGGTCTATTAGCTTATGCCTAGGTCAAGCTAGTAGTATTTTGTTGACCGCGAATAAATGTACTAAAGAAGGGCCTAAAAACCGTGCATGTTATGTATAGAAACCTTTGGTTTGTCCATGACTAAACCTATAAGAAATTAAAGTGAAATCAGAAAAAGATTTGAACAATTAAGTTAGAAAGTAAATCGGTACATGGAAGCATGGAAAATGTAGCTTAAAATCAGAAAATGAACTTGGTACGGGAAGTATAAATTCTAAATGGAACCTTGTGTTTTGTAAATGAATGGAAGTAAAGAAAATCTGTTTGGTATTTTGATTAGGTTCATAAACCTTAAGGATGCCGGATGGACTTGGGGGCTGTTTTGATTAAAAATGTTAAAGACTCGAGGTATGTGTTAGGCGATATTACCTGATGTGACTATTGACTAGTGTATGAATTGTGAATTGTTGCTCACATGTGCCTTATGATTATTCTGCCATAAATGATGAAATTATTCTGCCTATGGAAATGTTATGATTATGGAAATTATGTTATGAAAAGAAAGAATGGCTTGGAGTATGGCATCCAATGTACATGAAGTATATGTTATGAAATGGTGATATATGCATGCACCGTACATCATACCGCACTTGTCTTTTTGTTTGTGTGTGACAGCATAGCATGGCATGCATGTACCAAATTCATGTTAGTCTTGAGTCTTAGAATAGTTATATATATAGGACCATGTGATTGAGCACGCATCATATAGGCATCCCTTGATATCAGGGTACTGGGACAGTTGACGTCAGTCCGCATAGGCCACAGTGGAATTCCCCAAATGATGGTGCCGTGCATGGAATTTCCACTGTGATGGCACGCGCACGACGGTGCTAAGAGCGTGATGAAGGCGTTATATACGCAATATGATATATGATGAAAAGGATATATGATGAAAAAGGTTATATGATGAAAAGGATTTCATGTTTGAAGCGACTGTTTATAATTTTGTGCCTAGTTTGATACTGTTGCATTATTGGTTTTGTTGCCACACCACTAGGATTTTTCTCACCCCTTTGGGGCTGCTATTTTTATAAAATGGCAGGAGGACGTAAAAACTTTTGAGGACTTGGATATTTGCTGTTGGTTTCTACTATTGGGCATGCTGCTGTGATTGTATTATTTTCATGGATGACTGTACTAATTGTGGATGTTTAAATTATTAGTGAACTATGTTTGCATTCTGTTTTAAGACTTTTAAGAACAACAAGTGTTTTGAAACGAATTTCAGAACCGTTTTTACGAAAACTGATTCATGACGTTTTGAGAGCTAAGTTAAAACTGTTTGTGCGAGCATTTTGTAGGTTGGCGTCCCGGGGCTACGAACCTCTGATTTTCTTATAATTTATATGCACGCGTAGCCCCAGGTGTCTAGTTTCATTATATATAAACCTTTCAACGAAATTCTGAAAGCTAGATTTATTATGATTTTTGCAAGTAAGGTCGTTTGATATAAATTCACTGATTTTAACTCTCGCCTTACGAGTTATGTTTCGAGGGGCAAACGACCTCCAAATTACTATTATTTTATATGAACGAGAAGCCCCGAATGTCTAGTTTCTAGATTACAAAGAATATTTTTTTTAATCGTTGAAGTGAATTTTATACGAATTTTCAAAGACAGAAAGGTCTGCCAGGAAAGTTATATTTTCAGTAGTTGAGAAATTTTGAAAGTATACTCTGATTTTTGTGACGAACCCGATTTCAATTATAAGTTTTTAATTGGCATTGTAAAAGTGATTTTCAGTCTCTACAATATGATTAAAGAACTCTAATCCGCTTAGCGAACAACTCTCTTGGATGCATACAAGGGAGGGTGTTTGTTATGATTGCTGCATTGGTTGCTGTTTGTTAATCCTTGCTGTTTGTATATGTTGTGTGATCATTGCTGTTCAAATTTAACGGTTGAATTGTTCAATAAGTGCTGAACTGATTGCTGTTGAAAGTAGCTATGGAACTGCGAAGGTTGCTGCATACTAGAATTAATTTCCTGAGTTGCTTGAATTATGAGTGACATGTGTTGAACTGTTTGTTGGATGCCGGATGTCAGAATTAAATTAAGGAACTGTCTGAATAATGATTGACAGGTGCTGAATTATTCTGTTAAATGGTGAAAGTTAGTATAATTGAAATATTAGAATTATCCTGACATGCACTGCACTCCCCTTGTGGTATTATTTACGCTCAGCCGTTGAAATTAACTTATTTGGAGCAATTTGATTCTTGATGATGGTATGATGTAGTGTTTGATTATCTGATGTACTAGATTGTATTGTATAGATTTACCTTGTTGTTGACTTGTTATGTAGAGCTCGGTTATTCAATGATAAGTGTAATCTGGCTAAATAATTGAACTTGATATGTTAAATTGAATTGATCTTCCTTGCAGTTGAGTTTATAGGTGTGGTTCGAGTAGTTGAATACTATGTACTGTTTTATTCTCTGCTATGTTTGGTTGTGTTGTTCGTATTATGTATTGAAATATTTGACTTGAATAGTTACTGTTACTAAAGTGCACATGGATTGTTTGATTATGTTATGTTGCAGTTGAATTAAGTTGTTTGAATTGTATGATGTGTAATTGATTGTTTGAGATTCTGCCTTGAAGTGGGAACCATGCCTCAATCTTGAGATTACTGTCGTGAATGTCATGTAGTGAGTTGGATCCACTCGCTGCTTGACATTACGAAAGTAGAATTAGTATTTATGAGACACGGAAACCTCCTCAAGAGAGAAGTCTGATGTGTAGTAGGTTGTAATTGAGTACTGCCTAAAGGAAGAATAAATAACGAAGTATGGAATTTGACGATTCCCAGTGTCTGATGAGATGATACTCCAGCTGTGACTGGGAATGGGTCTGGCCAACACATTCTCCGGTAACACGGTAGTATCAAACTGTCAAACACCGAGAATCAATTATTTTAATGGATGACTGTACTAATTGTGGATGTTTAAATTATTAGTGAACTATGTTTGCATTCTGTTTTAAGACTTTTAAGAACAACAAGTGTTTTGAAACGAATTTCAGAACCGTTTTTACGAAAACTGATTCATGACGTTTTGAGAGCTAAGTTAAAACTGTTTGTGCGAGCATTTTGTAGGTTGGCGTCCCGGGGCTACGGACCTCTGATTTTCTTATAATTTATATGCACGCGTAGCCCCAGGTGTCTAGTTTCATTACATATAAACCTTTCAACGAAATTCTGAAATCTCGATTTATTATGATTTTTGCAAGTCAGGTCGTTTGATATAAATTCACTGATTTTAACTCTCGCCTTACAAGTTATGTTTCGAGGGGAAAACGACCTCCAAATTACTATTATTTTATATGAACTATAAGCCCCGAAGGTCTAGTTTCTAGATTACAAAGAATATTTTTTTTAATTGTTGAAGTGAATTTTATACGAATTTTTAAAGACAGAAAGGTCTGCCAGGAAAGTTATATTTTCAGTAGTTGAGAAATTTTGAAAGTATACTCTGATTTTTGTGACGAACCCGATTTCAATTATAAGTTTTTAATTGGCATTGTAAAAGTGATTTTCAGTCTCTAAAATATGATTAAAGAACTCTAATCTGCTTAGCAAACAACTCTCTTGGATGCATACAAGGAAGGGTGTTACAATTTATATATTGTAGGTCTTAGTTATGCCTTCAGCTGTTGTGGGGACAGTACGCTCATTGGAGCGTGACTCTAATGCCTGCAAGGTTGCAAGAGCGGGAGATAACGTAGCTGTAACATTGCTAGGTGTAGATGGAAGTCGTGTAATGGCAGGAGGTGTACTATCCCATCCTGACTTTCCTGTCACAGTTGCAAAGCATTTGGAGTTGAAAGTACTTCTCTTGGATGGTGCAAGTCCCTTATTGGGGGGCTCTCAGGTGTGTACGATATGTATGAGATATTCTTACAGTTTATTATCCAATTTCTATTCATTGGGGGAAAAAAATTCAATTTTCTTTTTCTATACGTGCAGTTAGAGTTTCATATACACCATGCAAAGGAACCTGCTAGAGTTTCAAAAATATTGTCAGTACTTGATCCCAAGACTGGTAAGGTAACCAAAAAGTCCCCACGCTGTCTTACTGCAAAGCAAAGTGCAGTAATTGAGGTAAATAAACAATGCAAAACTTGCTTTTTAAATAATCTTACCCGAAATTTTGTTCGTCTTCGATGCCACGGACTCAAAAAAACTTGAAATGACTTTTATTGTCTCCGATTTCAGGTGATTTTGCACGAGACAGTCTGTGTAGTAGAGTTCTCTAGTTGCAAAGCACTTGGAAGGGTGTCCTTAAGATCATTAAGAAGAACAATTGCTGTTGGACTTGTGACAACAATTATTGAAGATGAAAATTAGTTTATGATATTTGTCATAAAAGATTAGATGATGATAACATGGAGAATTTAATGGTATTTTCAGTAAACATCTTTGTTTGCCATCTAAGTCTAGAATTAGTTATGGTGGCAGACAGCGGGCGGCTGTGTGACTCTTGTTGAGTTTCTCGGGTCAATATGTGAATTATGTAAGAGTAGTCCAGTTTTTTTTTTTTTGTCACTATATATGTATCATAGGAATAAATCTTTGGTGCTACTGCTGCACCAAGATTCAGTGCATCCCATCAATGAAATTATTACACATCATAGGAGAGAGAAAAAATTTGACAGAGAAAAAAAACTTTAGCTGACATGTAATAATTTTATTAGTGGGATGTACTGAATCTTTGGTGCAACAGTAGCACCAAAGATTTATTCGTATCATAGGTGAGCGTTCCTTTTCATTAGTCTGGAGTTCTACTATAGCAATCTAGTGGGATTAGAAGACAGAAAAATGATGTATCCGTTGGATGTAATTGCTTTTATTCTTTGATGCCTAGACTTCAGCATAGATTGATCTGCTTATAATAAAGCACTGCATCACTTGTTTATATTCGGGGCTTGCAAATCATGAAAAACTCCTGGTGTTGTTCTCGGGGAAGGCATTATTTTTCTACTTACGGTCTCTGGTTAAGGAATGTGGTCTGGGACCATCCTGTTGCTTGTAGAGAATCAATGAATGATCCAAAATTGGATCAAATAATGTCGGTGATTTTTTATTTTTGGTGAGGCTTTGGACCTATGTTGCGGTTCTGGTGGAGGAGTCTTCTCTAGTGGATTCCGTTGTGGCTCCCTAATGGCCTAATGGGTTATGGGAAAGCGGGGAAATGAATTTTTTCGTATCTGAATTTGACCTATGTTCTGGTGTGAGAAGATTTTATTCATTCATTATTAATCAATCCTCATGTTAGAGTTGCATAGAAGCTTGATTTACCTTAATGAAATATATAGTTTTTAATTATTGTACTTGTAAACCAGAGAAGAATAAATGAGTCATTTAGATGATTGACCGTTACAAATTTGTAATTAAAAGTTATCAGTGGTCGAGATTTTTTTATTTTCTTCTTAAAATGAGATATGTTTATTTTTCAAACTTTTTATTTTTTAATTTTTTTAATTAACTAATTAGTTGCTCTTATTTTGTTTTATAATTTTCAATTAATTGTTTGTTCATTCTTATTGTGCTCTTTCCAACTTATCTTCTCTTACTTGTTTCTTATTCTCGAAATATTTTGAGTTTCTTGAAGCATTTCTATGCACAAATGTCTGCATATAATTTCTCACTCCTATAGAATACTTTTTTTTGTAGCATATTTATTTGTACTCTATAAAAAAAAAATGCTAGAATTATTTAGTTAAAAATTAAAGAGTTGGGTAATCAATTATAAATCTTCTATTATTCTGAGAGATTCCTAGGTCGGTTATGCAATGAACGCGTACCTCTCAAGAGTTATAGACTTCATATTTTTTGACGAAGTCATGAATTAAGTGATTATAGTAAACTGTATTTATTAAGAATTCCTTTTGAATAAGTGTATTTCTAACACTACTTTCGTAATATTACACATATTTAATATTAATTACAGTAATATAATAAACAATATCTATCAAAGAATTTCAAATAGAATCAAGTTTGTGTTTTTTGAGCTGCAATTTAAAAGATGCAAAAAGAATAAGATTTGTTTTTTCAGCATTGGTGGTTTAATAAAAAATAGAATAAAATGTTGAGCACAGAAATTTTAAACAAAAAAAAGAAATTAGAATGTAAAGGATGTGAAGTGTGAACTATAAGAGATTCATGTTTGATTCAGTATATACAATAGTTTAAATGAATTATTACCGGCGTAAACAAAAACACGGATTTAGGGTTTATTCACAAGAAAAAATCACTCTAAGACCAATATATCCCTTATGGAAATGCCTCCCCTTCTTTTAATAAAAAGGATTTTAATGAACGAAAATATTGAAAATATTTAAATTAAATTGGAATTGAATCAATTGATATAAACAACTATGAACCAATACTTTAAAAATTAAATTGAAATTGAATTAGTGAAATTATAAACTAATTATGTACCCGTTAAGGTATTATATTTTTCAACTAATTTTGAATAAAGATTCAATTTTAATAGGTTGATTTAATCAACTTATGATCTTTAAATATGTCAATTTTTTTTAAAAAAAATCATTGTTATGAATATATTTCTAATTTTAACTATTTGAAAAAATAAAATAAAATAAACTTAATTTCAATACACTTACAATTTGTTAAAAAAATTTACATCACCAGAAGGATTTAAATTAGAATTTAATTTTAATATATTTTCGGGAAAAACATATATCCTTTCAAAGGATATAACATTATATCATTTTAGATCCTAACCGTTGATTTTCATCCATCAACGATTATAATCTATTAATTAATTATTTAATAAATTATTAATTAATTAATTAATAATTTTGATCCAATAAATTAATGGGCCAAATTTATTATTAATTAATTAATAATTTTGACCCAATAAATTCTAACCGTTGATGGACAGAAATCAACGGTTAGGATCTAAACTGATGCAATAAAAATTTCTATTTGTTTAAAGAAGATATTCAGTTTCAAATCTTTTTTCTTTTAGCTTGGTTAAAGTTAACAATTCATTAATTTGTAGTGTTTTAAATTTATTGTATTCTATGTTGTCTTGTTTGCTTGGTTATGCATGATTATTTGTTGTTTGCATACTTTTTTTTTTAAGGTGGTTTTAAAAAGAAATTAATTAAGTTTCGAGGATGAAACTTCTTTTAAGGAGGGTAGAATGTAATACCCCATATTTTTATTAACTTTAACCTTATGCCTTTTAGTTAATTTGAGGAGCTCAAACTTTTAAGTTTCGAGGACGAAACTTCTTTTAAGGAGGGTAGAATGTAATGCCCCATATTTTTATTAATAAAATAATAATAATAATAATGATAATAATAAATTATAAATTAGTAGTAAAATATATATATATATATATATGTATAAATTTTATGGTGATAGATAACAAAGTAGAATATTAATTTTATTTTTGATATAATTATTTTGTGCGATATGAGTTTTATTGGAAAATAATTTTTATACTTTGTAATACTTTAGATTATTTATAATAACATAATATTAATATATATATATATATATATACATATTAGATGATAAATTGTAATTAATTGGATTATTAATTGATTGATGATTTAAGCATTTATGTTTGATTGATAATTGTAACAGCCCGTTACGTACCGGTATTGTTAACATTAATTATGATATTAAGCGCAGTTACAATCACAGCAGTTCATTTATAAAACGCGAATAAATTTTTTTCCGATTATTACGCGAGCATTTAAAACATAAAAAGGCGTAATAATTAAAAGCTGTGACCGTAACCGTAAACTCTTGCGGAAGACTTATTTAAACTATTTTTATCACTTACGTTACTTATTATAAGTTACTAAGGAGTTCCCATAAACTCACTTAGCCAATTTCCAACTTTACGTTTTTTACCAATTCGAACATGTTTCACTCTAAGTTTTTCTGCGACCAAACCGATCGCAACCAACCCTTCTTCTCAGATTATATCTTTGTGTTACTTAATTCCCTTTTTAACAAGCTAACATACGCTCAATTCGGAGCTCATTTGCTCCGGTTATCGCCGTTTGAAGTTGGATAAGCAATTAGCCCATACAACCCCAAAAACAGCTCCAAACCACTCACATTGCTCGAATTACTGCACTCAATCCCCTCAACCAAGTACTCTCAAATTTTTATCCTACAAACTAGACATCTCAAACTTCATTTTGATATATCACACACTCAATTTGACTGAGAAACGAAGCGGGAATTAATTTCCCAAATCCGGTCCAGAATATGCCTCAGGTGCAGTGGCACATGAGCAGTCCGCGTTTCTCTATTTTTTTCAGGCCGAAGATCAACCCAGATTTTTCTTAAATTTTGACACAACGTAGAGGACATCTCAACCTTCAAAATGGCGTATGGCACGTCCCTAGGGGACCTCTATGGAGGGAGATATGCTCTCCCGAAGTTCGCCTAAAATCTGCCAATTCTACAGAAAATTCGCCAGAGTTTCCTTTGTTTTTTCAATAATCCCAAAGTTGTAAAAGATCCTTTAACCTCAATTGTACCTAATAAACACATGATAATACAGCAATAATCCAATGGGTGGCACACACAAGGACCAACAATGCCTTGGGGCACTTACAACCCAATCCAGTTTATAGTTATTAAACATAGAGTCCATATTAATCATTCTTAAGTAGTTGCAATCACTAACACCTTTTTCATGCATATTTCCATCATACATATTATCATAACCTAAAACAGGCCTAAGGCCCTTCCATCATAGTTAGACATGCATCAATACTATTACAATATGGCTTTACAAATTACAACTTGAAACTAAAACTTCAAATTACATTCTTCTAAAATTTCAACTTAATTAAAAGACAACATAACCAAATACATCACTACTAGACTTAGGCAAAATGGCATGAACAAGATGCTAATGAAGCTACTAATAAATACAAATGACATGTTCATGCCTTAAGTCTAGCCTAGGCCACACGGCCAACAAAATGCAAAATAAGAAACGCTCCATCGCTCACTCTGCGGGCCTCTTGCCCGAGGCTCCTGCTCCACTGCTACCTCCTGAAATAAATGCCCCGAGACGGGGTGAGATATACGAATATATCTCAGTAACCAAGAGGTTCTGGAGAAAACTCCACCCAATGGTTCACTTCGATGCATATCAATAGAATACAACAACCACTTTGAAAACGGGATATAGCAAGGGATTTAGAAAAGGGGAACAAGCCCCAGTACCAAGAGGTTACCTGAAATATTGTTTCCACAAGCTCCGCAGCAGCTTATCCCTCAACTCGGTACACAGCGGAATGCCTACACAGAGGACATTCCCAATCACTCTCAGTTCAACCCATACATGTTAATTTATAATTACACATGCAATGAACCAATTTCTTACCTCAATCCACTTGGTCCTGGACCAAGGACAATTCACTGATTCAAGATTCGGGATTCAGGTCAACGTACGACAACTTATACAATAACGTACATCCATCAGTACTCGTCAAATAGTATCAAAACTCAAAAACACAAAAATCCTCCCCATCCTCCCTTGATGGTTCGGCCATTATAGGTGTAAATTTGAGATTTATTTTCCTAAATTTTCTTTCTCATTTTATAACACTCCCTTAGGTTGTTTAGAGGCTAGTTCAATCGTCGTTTTTCCGTTTTCCGACATTTACGCATCGTTTTGCGAAATATTTCATTCTGGGCTCATTTAGGTCTCTAACACAATTCATTTTTTTCCATTGATTCAAACACTCTCCAAGCACAACACAACCCATCTAAGCACCATATAACTACACAAATCATCATCCAAATCATTTTTCAACATCAATTCCTCAATCTTTCCTCAAAGAATCGAATTTTACCCTATGGCATTCCAAGGAATTTCCATACAACTTTAATCATTCCACACCTCATACAATCCTATTATATCAACATACAATCATACAACAACTCATCAATCCAATCCTAACACATTTTCAAAACTCAAAGTCATGACAACCTCAAAATTTTCTAAGTTAAAAATTCACATTTTTCATCAATAATTTTTATTGCATTTATGGCTACTACACATCATTCTAAGACACATTCATGTACAAACATTTTCCAATTGAGCTCTCTAAACACATCAATCCAACAAGCCCTCTTTAGGGTTCATAAATTCAACCACAAAATTAAACCATTGGAACACAAGGAAACTCACCCAAAAGCTTGGCACAAGGCTCCTCCTAAACATACTCCACCATTGGAGCATCAATCAACACCATTTTCACAAATCTAAAGGAAAGGGCCGCAGCTTTGGGGAGGGTTTTTCTCAAAATCTAGTGGCT